CAAGTTGCCCAGGTGGGTCTCGAACCCGTGGGCTCAGGCAATCCACTCACCTCGGCCTCCCAAAGCGCGGGGATTACAGGCTGAGCCACCGAACCCGGCCTATGATAATTTTTATTTTTTAAATAACTCTTGGCCAGGCCTAGTGTTAATTCCAGCATTTGTGGGAGACCAACACAGGAGGATCACTTTAGCCCAAGAGTTCAAGACTTCAGTGAACTGTGATCACACCACTGCACTCCAGCCTGGGTGACAGAGTGAGACTCTGTCTCTTAAAAAAAAAAAAAAAGAATCAGCCTGTAATCCCAGCACTTTGGGAGGCCGAGGCGAGAGGATTGCTGAGCCAGTGGGTTCAAGACCTACCTGGACAACTTGGAGAGACCTCGTCTCTACAATAAATAAAAAATTAGCTGGGCATGGTAGCGTGCACCTGTAGCTCTGGCTACTTGGAAGGCTGAGGCGGAAGGATCGCCGGAGCCTAGCAGGTCGACGCTGGGGTGGCCAGGAGTGTGCCATGGCACTCCAGCCTGGGCAGCAGAGTGAGATGCCAACTCAAAAAAAAAAAAAAACTTCTTGAATTGAAAATGTAGAGGAATTCCTTAAACTGAGAAAATGTCTATAAAAATTTATAGCAAATATTTTATTTAATAGTGAAAATATTAGAAAAGGGTGCCAGTTGCCATTATTCCTAATCAGCATTGTACTGGCATTCCTAATCAATGCAGTAATATAAAAAAAAAATGTATAAGAATTGCAAAGGAAGGCATCAAACTATCCTTAATCTTAGGTGATAGGATTATCTGTGTGGGAAGCCTAAGAGAATCTAAAGAAAACATGAGAACTAATGTGAACTTGGCTAGATTCTTGGATATAAGATAAACATGCAAAAGTCAGTTTCATTTCAGAACATTAGCAACACAAAGTGGTAAAATGTTTTAAAGATACAATTTATGATCATGAAGAAAATATAAGGCACCTAGAAATAAAATAACAAAAATTATATATGACCTTCTGAAAGTAATTATATCATTTTAAGCCAGGCAAAGTGGCTCACACCTGTAATTCCAGCACTTTGGGAGGCTGAGGCAAGAGGATTGCTGAGGCTAGAGAATTGCAGGGGTTCAAGACCAGCCTGGGTAACACCTCTACAAAAAAATTAAAAATTAGCCAGGCATGGTGGTGTGTGCCTGTAGTCCCAGCTACTCAAGAGACTAAGGCACAAGGATTGCCTCAGCCCAGGAGTTCGAGGCTGCGGTGGCCGAGAGCATGCCACTGCACTCCAGCCTGGGCAACAGAGTGAGACTCAAAAATAAAAAATAAATAAGTAAAAATAAAAGTACCCACGAAAAGCTGTCTAGCTTTCTACAGTTTCTACTGGTCACCAGTCAAACCTATATTGGCAATAGAAGAAAAGTGACAATTTTGCATGTTAACAAATATGTGGAGCTTTGGGAACCCATAAATGGCTGGAAGGAGTTTAAATTTGAAATAAGCACTTTGCATAGCAGTTTAGTAGAATTCAAGATATGCTTTGACTTAGGAATTTCACTTCATATATATCATAGAGTGTCTTTTAAACTCTTGCAAACCTACGAGAAAGCATGTTCATAATGCAACAGGTATTTTTTTATTTTTGAGTTGGAGTCTCACTCTGTTGGGCAGGCTGGAGGGCAGTGGCACGCTCACCACCACCGCAGGGCTCAGATGATCCTTCTGCCTCAGCCTTCCATGTGGCAGGAACTACAGGCACACACCAACACGCCCACGTAATTTTTTGATGTATTGTAGAGGTGAGGGTCTCACCAAGTTGCCCAGGTTGTTCTTGAACCCATGGACTCAAGCAATCCTCTCACTTCCGCCTTCCCAAGTGATTATAGGTATGAGCCAATACACCCAGCTGCAAGTATTATAGACGGTTACCCAAACGCCCTTTGGAATGAATGCATAAACTGACACAATGG